CAACCCCACGAAAGACCTTTGGTCAAACATCACGGCAAATGTGAAGGAGTCCGGCGTGGAGCCGATCGACACCAATTTGCTTATGGTGGGGAGCCCAGGAAGTGGGAAGACGACGCTGCTTCGGCGGATCTACGCCACTTTTGGCCACACCGCAGCCTCCGCCATTGGGCATTCGCCGGATCCGACGAATAAAGCTAGTAAACTCAAACCCACCACTGCCCTGGATTACAGCTATGCTCGACGAAATGAGCGAAACCTCTCCCAGATCGCCCACTTTTGGGAATTGGCCCAAGGTACGGAATTAGCGCAGCTTTCGGAAATTGTGGTGATGGCGGAGACCGTCCACACCATCGTCCTGGCTGTGGTAGTGGATGCCTCAGAAGGGGGATTGGCGTTGGCGTGGGAGAACGCGACCTACTGGCTTCAACGAATTGACCGCCGCGTGAGCGAAGTCGCGGATCGCATGCGGGCGAAAGGCTCAACCACTCCGGCTAAGATGCTTAGTCGGGCGAAAAAACGAATTGGGATGGAGCACCCCGATCTCAGTCGCATGCGACTGAGCGGGATCCCGACGATCCTTGTGGTCAACAAGATCGATTTGTTTAAGGGTGACAACTTTAAGATGAAGGTGCTTTCCCATAGCATGCGATTCCTCGCTCATCTTTACGGGGCCCATGTCATCTTCACCGGTGAACATGAGACCCATAAGTGGAAGATGCTCATGAGTCACCTCCTCTTTCAGGCACCTTTTGATAATCGACACATCCAATTTGATCTGGATCGCGGTGGGGTGTTGGTGACGGCGGATAAGGACACCTTCGTCGATATTTGCAAACCGGAGGATTTGTATTGCGGTAGCTATAATAACATTGCCGCGACGGGAGACCCGGAGTTAGATCGCTGGAAGGTCCTTTTTGATCAAGTCTACCCACCAGAGAAGCTGCCCGAGTCGAGATCCTTCAATGATCCTTTTCTAAGGAAGCTTTATGATACAACGGAGGGCGGTTATGGGGAGCCTAGCATTGATGCCCTACGCAAGCAGAAGGACGAAGAGCTTGAACAATACAAAAGAACTACTAAGATGAAGTTGAAAGATAAGTCAAAACAAACTATTAATATGTAGATTTCTCTTCCCTTTTTAAGGCTATATGCATTATTACACTTTTTTATTTCATATTGTTTGTCCAGTTTGTTTATTATTCACCCTGTAAATCGATTAGATCAGCTTGGTAAAGTCTCCTTTTTAAGATATTTCGTCGGGATTTGGATGGCCTTCAAGCGTCGAGAAGGTGAGGAAGGCTGGTGCATACTACATGAAGTTCATTACCTACCGATCTGTTGTGTACGTGCGTTTTAGCTTTTTTTAATATATTGTAGCTGTATAGTTGTCTCGGTACATTAGTAATTCACACTTGTGTAGGTTTGTGCTTGGCGGATTCCAAGAATCAGTATTATATAGCAAAAGTCTTGAGTGTGTAATGTTGTGCAATATTCATTAACAGTACTAATTAAATCTTTTCTTTCTTTACTCTGTTTTCTTTTTTCTTGTTTCCTTCTTTCATAAAATAGTAAATTTTTGACGACTAACACACAAAAGCTGCGTTTGACTTAAAGGAAGTGAACCCCGAAGAAATTTCCAGCAGTTGAAATCCAGAAACTAAAAAAGAGAAGCTGAAACCACCAATGACACACCCAGAATTATGAATTGAAAAGGTACCAGCTGAATTTATCTAAACCAAGTGAACCAATTGCATATAATCTCAAACCTATTTTTTTTGCTAGTACTTTCTTGAGTATAATTTACTCATTATTTCTATGCAAATGCAAACCGATCTATTCCACAGTAGTACGTTAAGAGGAACTCCAGATAAATTATATATGCTAAGTTCATTGCCCTTCGAACCCCTTCAGGAAGCTTTGCATCGATCTCAACAGCACCTTCCTCTAGGCCCCTCATCAACTTTATGGTTTAAAGAGAGTCCAGATGCAAGTAGGGAACTGATTCGACCTCGAGCATGGGACCTTCTTGATACCAACCTCAGAAGCTTATCCTCTCCCGCTTCAGCGCTTTGGTTGTCGGTGCTGAGGGGTGTGTTTGATTGCCGAAGGCATCTTGGTCTTGTGGATGGCTTTGGACGCTGTTTATTATTATTAACTAAGTTACTCGATTCTCTTTTGGTACCCTTAAAAAACTTCACAAACCACAAGGCAGTCTTTGGGTTAGGTGATCCCCACCATAGTGTACTCGCACAGCAGCGCGTATTGCGGTTATTGATGCAGCATCGTGGTATACTTCTCTATGACAAGGCCCCATCGGAAGAGAATGGGAGCGTAGTAGGGGTGGATTGGCTCGATCGAATTACGCACGATACGATTCTAGAACTGGCACAACGGGGTGATTTTTTCTTTTTAGGATCCTGTACGTCTGATGTGGAGGGGGTATCCCCCCATACGCAGCAGGATCCGACGTCTCCATCGTTGTATGCCTTGGTGGCCGGCTCCGCCTACCACCTTCTGGCGACTGAAGTTGAGGGTGAGGTCAGGGATACGCTGCATCAGGTTCTCATGGAGTTTCTCTTCTCTGATGAGACGATCGATGGACCGGTTCAGGCATCCACTCCAACTCATCTTCCCCTTTCCTCGTCGTCGATGGAGCGCGGGCCGACGGTGGAGCGACTGAGGCTCCGCTTAGCGACCTTGGACTCCACCTGGGACGGGGTGGTTTGCTTTGCGAATGCCCTGTCCTCCCGCACGCCCTTTTCCTCCACGGCGCGGGAGGTGGGGCCGACGTTCGAGGCCGCGGTGAGCGGGTCGCGGGTGTTGCCGCGTTCCGTCTTCCTGTTGCCGGTGGTCGGGGGGTCTCCCACTGTGTCGTGGGCTAAGGCCTTCTTTACTCTCCCCGCCCGATCGTGTGGGTCGTGGTTTGGGCAGTTCAGGCCTTCTTCCATCGCTCGGGATGACCCCCCGGTGGGGGTTCTCTTACTCCGTTTGGACCCCGCCGGGGAATGGCTGCCCCAGGTGGAGGACCTCTACAACACCCAGACCTTCCTTTCCTATTACTGTAACGAGGCCCAGGGGATTCACGCAGACGATGCATCCCACCTCTCCCCACGTGAAGCCGAGGGGAGGGGGGGAGGGCGTGGGAAAGGTCTGGATCGCGATGAGATCGACGACGAAGAGTCGTTTTACGAAATGCAGGCTCGGCAAATCGGTATAACTCGTTGTGTTCAATCCGATCCTGAGGGTTACCGAGGAGGGGAATGGAATTCAGAGTCTGAGCTCGGCACGGACAGACGCTATGACATTGGTGAAAGCACCGAAGAAAAAATTTTCGAGGGCCTTGTAGATCGTGCGTGCAGGCAATTGTTGTCTTCATATCGAGGGAAAGAAGATGAGGCATGTGGGACGCAGCATATTGAATTTTGCGCTGCGCTTCGTCTTTTCATTTGGTGTTTTTTGCACGACGTGCGTGTTGTTCTTACCCCGGAGTGTGTGCCGCCACTATTCAAGCGCTTCAGTGAACTGTACGGCGATGCCTTATGGCGTCACCTGAACCATACAGAAGTTATATGGCTTGGAAAAGAGGAGCGCTCGCTTGCCGAGAAAGCTGAAGACGAATCAATGGTTCGGATAATCGACGGGCTGCATTTAGAGTGCTTTGAGCGGCTGCTGATCGCCGTTCCATGTCTTCATGAGCCTAGCAAGCATCCGGAACGTTTCGTGGCGAGATCAGCCGCGGTTTTGAGTCGAAACCGTCTACGTTTGCCCTCTGTAGTAGAGGACGCGCTGTTGAAGGTTTCTGAGTGTACGCTGACCTCTGTGGAGGAGGTGCTGCGGTATAAATCGGTCCAGAAATGGCCGATGATGGATATCATTAATTCGGTAACCGATCCTTCTACAACAAAGCAATTGGTGTGTGGGCTGAGGCTAGTGGAACCACCTATATTGGGTGAACGACGGTGGGTGCCATCTTCGCTCGTGGGATCGATTCTTATTGCTGCACCTACACGTGGATTGGAGCAGCGTTGGATAAGACTCCTGAGAAAATGTATCACTACTTTGCGCGGCATCTTTCATAATCCATCTCATCATTCTCATTGCTTGTCATGGAAGGGAGTGAAAAATTCAGGGAGTGAAACAGGTGTCGTAAGAGCGGGAGGAGCATTTTTCTTTGGTTTCCATCGTTGTTTAAAGCGGCAAATTTCTGCATTAAGCAGTGGCCACTGTGGCAGTTCCTTTTCTTGTCTTCCAGTGTTGATTCACACGCTGGATCAGCTGGCTTCGGCGTGCTTCGCGTTGCCGCAGCATTTGGCAAAACATATTACGGCGAACTCAACTTTTAATTATCCTACTAGCGGTGAAAACAAGCCTCAGGGACCCCGTGCACGTGGGCGCCTTTGGTGGCTTGCAACCCAGCACGCGGCAGGACTGGATATGCCTTTGGAAGATCCTGAATTGCATGTATTCTTGCGAAGCTTCCACGAGAGAGCTGATATACTTTTGCGTAGTGTGCAAATCCCAAACTTCGAGGACAAGTTCTCAACAGAAGACAAATATACCTTCAATGTTGATAAAACTCATTTGAGCAATCCGTCCGGGCGTACGTGTTACTCACACAGCTCGTATAACCAGGCACTTCGTCTTTTTGCAAGCGATCTTGTTTTTTTTTCTCCTTTGGACTCTACAGGCGAAGTTAAAAGCAGCGAGGATCAGTACAAGATGCCCCGATGGATGTTTGTCGAGGCGATTGAGCCGAATCGAGAAGCTGTGCGTTTGGCCTTGATTGCATGCTATTTGATAGCGATCACATTATAGTAAGTTCATACAAAGGAGTTGTGGATCCAGCATTTCCCTTTCTAATTATCTATTTTAACTTTATGCAAGCAACTATTTGCACGCCTCCAAGACTATGTGTACACTGACTCTTCTTTGCCAACCTCAGTGTTTTTTTTCTTCACATACATTGGAGGTATATCATCTGGGTATTTGGCCACTTGTTGCTCATGCTACGTTGTTTTCAGTGAAGTGTATAACACACAGACTACTGTTTTGCACCCTGAACATTGTTAGAATATTAAAAAAAGTTTTTTTCCTCTTCCAAATTGTCTTTCCTCGTTTTGTGTCACCAAAGAAGAATATGGTTTATTGAAGCTTACTTCTTTATTTTTCTTTTATTTTCACTAGTATCATCTTTAACTGATGGAAACACTCCCATTCGTTTTTTTTTTTAAGTATTAATAGAGTAAATATTGGTAAGGGGTGGTGGTAAAGACGGTACTACCCCTTACTTGAACACAAAGGAGCGCCATAAACTTTTCTATATAGACAAGTATCGCTTTTTTATTTTCTTCAGGGGTGACCTTAGCTCTTTTCCATTCTGAGTGCTCGGTGCGACTTTTTCATCATAGAAGAACGGACTTCGCGAAGCTTCCCACTTTCCATGGAGAGCTATGAGACAATTGGAATCTTGGGGGAAGGCACTTACGGTGTCGTTTTGAAGGCAATCCATCACACCACAGGGAAGCTTGTGGCTATTAAAAAATTCAAGCAGACAGATGCAGATGATTACGTTCATAAGACATCTTTGCGTGAGGTCCGTATACTAAAACAACTGCATCACCCAAACGTAGTTTCTCTTTATGATGTGTTTCGCCGTAACGATAAGCTTTACTTAGTCTTCGAGCTTGTAGAGAATACAATTTTGCAGCTACTAGAAAGGACGCGTACTGGGATGGATCGACAGGATGTGCGACGCTACGCATATCAGATCCTGCGCGGTATTGATTATTGTCACACCCACAATGTCATCCATCGGGATGTAAAACCAGAAAATATATTAGTGTCCCGAGATGGATTTCTGAAAATATGCGACTTCGGCTTCGCAAGACATCTCACGGTGGGGGGTAAGTACACGGATTATGTTGCAACACGGTGGTACCGGGCACCTGAGTTGCTAGTTGGGGACGTCTACTACGACCGTAGCGTCGATGTGTGGGCAATTGGGTGTATTATTGCAGAGCTCACCAGCAGCTTACCACTCTTTCCTGGGGAATCTGACCTTGACCAGCTTTATTTAATTCTAAAAACCTGTGGCCCACTACCGGAGCGCATGGTTCGTACTTTCGAGCGAAATCCCCTCTTTCGTGCCGTGTCTTTCCCCCACACAGAGGTGCATCTCACGTTGCAGCAGCGTTTTCCGAAACAGTCACCAGAATGGTTGGAATTTCTGTCAGCGTGTCTACGTCTGGATCCGGAAGATCGTCCGTCTTGTGCAGAACTGATGAACCTCGCATACTTTCAGAAAAATAACTTCAAAGCTGATTATGAAGCGGAGCTGCAACGCACAACTGTTTCATTATACAAAAGTACAGGCACTGATACGATTATGGCCCCTCTGTCATCCAAGACACTGGCAATATCGAACTCCGTCAGGAATCCACTAAATCCGCTTTACACCAACCATGATAGGCCTGTGGATAATGTTCACGAAAAAAAGCCTCATACTCAATGGGGGAAAGCAAGTAACCGAGAACTATCGGACTCCAATTTTATGACACTACCATTAACATCGAAGCACAAAACTGATCAACCTGAAACAAATGAAAAAGATCGATTACCTAGCATCATAGAAAATTTGTCGTGCGGGCCATTTCCTTCATTACCCCAGCGAGAATGCCAAGGTGTGGTCAAAGATGGTCCCATTGAGGTGGATGGCGAGTTGATGCCTCACGATCGATCGAAGGACCAGTCTCCCCCCACTCTTCCTACCGACCCGAAGCTCATCCCGAGCAATATCACACCCACCAACGCGCCGGGTGCGTGTATTGCGGCGCGAATCCCATCTCTGGACGTTTTGTGGTCCAAGTACCTATTCTCCACGATGCAGCCGAGCAGTAGCCCGGACCCCGCGTCCAAGATGCCGCCGATTCTCACCAATATCACCAACCTCACTACGGCCCCTCCCCCGGGGGCAGGGGTGGCCCCACGGCCATTTATCACCGCTGTGATGGACGACGGGGACGGCCCCCTGCAGCTGGTTCCTTCGCCCCATGCCAAGCCGCATTCCTTGGGGGAAGGGAATGGAATTCGAACCTCCAGCCCACGTGAGCCGGATGGGGGGGATAAACACCCTATTGAACGAAAGCGAATTCCCGCCAAACCCTACCCCATGGGCTTATCGGAGGTGCCTCTGGGAGGCACCACTTGTAACACCACGGGCAGCACCATCATTCTCCCCTTGTCGAACATGAGCTTTGGAAAAGGGGAGGGTTTTACAGGGAATCAGGGTTTCTCTCATGCGGCGAAAGCAAACCAGACAGGCACCAAACATTTTAGTAACAATACGGGGCGCATTCTTAATATGAATTTGTCCACATCAACGTATTTAGTTCCCCTTACTGGAAGAGACGATTGCAGAAATCTGGATCGACTTTCCACGAGGGAATTTGATGATAAAGCCACCAAGCGATCCATTAATGAACTAAAGGACCTCTCTAGCATCGGTGACAATACTTTGTATACTTTGAATGGTACCACCACAGACAGTAAGGCATCTAGAATTAAGAAGTCATCCTGTAAGCTTTGTACCGAGAAGCAACAGCGTATGCAACGGCTTCCGATAGGCGGAGTCTACTTCTGGGGAGAGAGACTTGGTAAGACTCAAGATTCATCAGTTACAAACAAAGGTACTGGCCCTGTAAAGTCAGTTTCTCGTAAGCCAAAGATCAAAAACGTACTTAGAGGTCCCAGCAATGAGGAGGTTCCTCACTTATGGTCACAACCGAAGTCGTTTTGGCCACCTTCACCAAAGTTTGATATAAAATTAAAGGCCCCAGAAAAGATAGTTAGTGACTGTTCACCATATCGTGACACATCTATCACGAATCTTCACAAAAACCTGTCGAATTCAACGAAAAACCTAGGTAACTGTGTGTCTACTTCTCAGAATCAACATCCAAACTTATCTCAAAACAATGTCTCGACAGCGACTAATACAACCTCGACGATAAACACTGCAGCAAAAGTAGAAACAAGTTCAACAAGCACCCGATACAAAGCACCACCTCAGGATCCATTGAGCCGTCAACGCTCAAAGGAGATAGGGGTCATGCCAATCTACCGAAAGGTGGCTGATGTTGGACATAACCACAAGCTTAGTCCGGTTCGACAGCGAAGGGTAAATGCTGCGAGGTCGTTTCATCATTCCAACGACAAGGAACCTAGTCGCAGGGGTGTGAGTCAAACAATTCCGCGCCTGAAATGCGAACCTTCATAGGAAGGAAGGATGTAAGAATATAGAGATAAAAATACTCATTGGTAAAAAAATGTAGTAAATGGGAAAAAAAAACCCTTAGAGAATCCAAATTTGTAAGAGGGATTAGTTTTATACAAAAATTCCTTAAAATTTGAATAATATCATTAGTAAGAGTCGTAATATTAGCGACATCTCTAACTTACATCTAAAGCTTTTTCGCTTTCACTACATACTGAATTACATTCCAAGTTTGTAGAGACTATCTCTTCCTCTTGTTTGCTTTATTTACTCACTCTGTAAGTTGTATTGCAAAGAGATGCATAAATAAATAAAAATATATATCCTCAATGTACCTGTTTATCTTTTTGAGGGTTGAAGGAATTTTTCCTTTCTCCTCTTCCAGTATGACTCAATACCTCAATGATAAAAAAGGTCTTTTATTAGTGTGATATTTTTCTCTTTTGTTCCCTTTGCTGTGTTTTAGATTGTTCATTCTCATTCAGTTATCTGATTTGATAATGCCTCAGGGAGCGTTTGAATGAGGCTTAGAGCTTTTCAATTGAAATGAAAATCGAATTTAATCGATTGTTATATATTAAAATTACAATCATGATGTAACATTAGAGGACTCTACAATACACATGCGAACTAAATTCATTAAAGAGGATGTATTTGTGCATTGAGAAAGTAGTGGATAATATTTCTAGACGTTTCTTCCAAAATTGGTTGACTTTTCAAAAAAGTAAGAACATTATGTAAAGTGTATTAATTTTTATCACCACAAGTTTCTTATTATAATTGTAAGCGACAAAATCATTAATTCAGATGCCCAAGACATATTGCTTATTTTTTTTGTTTCACTACTCGGTATTCAGGTCCCAGCTTTGCTATTTCATTTATACCCTTTCTAAAATTTCCAATATGCTGTTTATTTGTTTTTTAATGTCAAAGAATACTTTCATACTTGAGAAATAAGATTAATCATAAATAAATAGCTACATCTAAAGCATATATTTCAAGATTTCATCACTATGCAGTCTAAACAGAAAGCGGCATTAGGTATCAATGGCACGCGTATCTCTGGAATCGCCGTCAGAAAGGAAAACGTGACAGCGGCTACGGCTGTGGCGAACATTGTGAAATCCTCTTTGGGTCCTATCGGGCTTGATAAAATGCTGGTTGATGATGTTGGGGATGTTTGCGTGACTAACGACGGGGCGACGATTTTGAAGAGCTTGGAGGTGGAGCATCCCGCAGCGCGGCTGCTGGTGGACCTCGCTCAACTTCAGGATCGCGAAATTGGGGATGGTACGACCTCCGTTGTCATCCTCGCCGCCGAGCTGCTCAAACGCGCATATGAGCTTGTGACCCGTGGTATCCATGCCACGTCGATTATCGCAGGGTATAAATTGGCGTTGCGCGAAGCCCTGCGATATCTTAACGATAACCTGGTCCGCACTGTGGACAGCCTTGGCAAGGATGTACTCTTTAATGTCGCGCGCACCTCCATGTCGAGTAAGATCCTAAACAACGATGCTGATCTTTTTTCTAAAATCGTAGTAGATGCCATTCTCTCTGTGAAGACCGTCAACGACTTTGGGGATGTGGTATACCCCCGCAAGGCGGTGTCGGTTCTTCTTCAACACGGCCGCAGTCTGCACGAGTCCTGTCTGGTACAGGGCGTCGCCATGAATCTTTCCCGTGCGGCGCAAGGCATGCCGTCCTCGGTGAAGAACGCCAAACTCGCCTTGGTCGATTTCGACCTCCGCGCGGTGAAGATGAAGCTTGGGATGAACATTACCATCACCGACCCCTCCAAGGCCGAGGCGATTCGCCAACGGGAGCTTGACATCACGAAGGAGCGGATTCAGAAGATGATTGCGGCCGGGGCGAATGTCATTTTGACCTCCTGGGGGATTGAGGACAGCATGATGAAGTACATGGTCGACGAGGGCATCCTCGGCGTGCGGCGTGTCAAAAAGGACAACCTCCGCCGGATTGCCAAGGCGACCGGGGCCACCATCGTCCACACCATGTCCGACCTGGAGGGCGAGGAGGTCTTCGAGGCCAAGTGGTTAGGGTCCGCCGAGAAGGTCTACGAGGAGCACATCGGCGATGACGATTGCATCGTCATCGCGGGGACGACGAATACGGTCTGCGCCACCATCATATGCCGCGGTGCGAATTACTTCGTCCTAGAGGAGATGGAGAGGGCGTTGAATGATGCCTTGTGGGCCGTCGCGCGGGCGTGCGATGCGAGTTCGGTGGTGGCCGGGGGGGGCTCGGTCGAGGCCGCGCTTTCCACCTATTTGGATCACTTCGCCCGTACCCTGAGCTCCCGCGAGCAGCTCTCCGTGGCGGAATTCGCAGAGTCGCTGTTGGTGATCCCCAAGACTTTGGCTCTGAATGCGGCTCTGGATGCGACCGATTTGGTTGCGAAGTTACGTGTCGAGCACAACGATGTGCAGAGTAGCGGGCAAAAGAGCGATAAGCGTTTCACGGGGCTTGATCTCCACAACGGGACTCTGCGGGATAACATAAAGGCCGGTGTGTTGGAGCCAACCCCGAGCAAGATTAAATCGCTGAAGTTCGCCACGGAGGCGGCTATTACAATTCTGCGCATAGATGACTGCGTTCGGCTCAATCCAGAAGAAGAAGAACAGCAGCGGTAGAGTTAGGATAATGAAGAAAAAGTAAGTGGTGTCGGAAGAAAGGGAAGGGAACAAAGGACTTAAGCAAACCAATAAAAGGTATTTTTGCCCGTCTTCAAGAATTCCTAAGATACAATAGAGAAGAGTGTGTGTGTGAATTTTTAAGAATATCGACTATTAAGAAAATACCACAGCAACTGAATTTTATTAGTTAGCATATATTTATTAATTTTTTTTGTATGATATGTTCCTAATAACAGCTCTTTTTCTTCTTGAAGTCCATCAGCTATTTTCTTTTTTTCATAAATGTTTAAAGATACTGATCGTTATTACCGTTATGTTAGCTTTCTTTTACGATCAAAATTTTGAAGGTAGCACGTGGGGACTGGATGGGTGAAAGAGGCCCATTTGTGTGAATCGAAAAAAAAAGCAAAAAAAAAAGGCTTTTACCTCGCTTGGAGGTACTTATAGCAATTATTAATGATGGATTTAAAATATTGATGGAAAAGCATATATCCATAAGTACACTTAAAAAGGGAGATAAAAAAAAAGAAGAAACTGATGAGAAGCTTAATTTCTTCCCGATTTTCTGTATCACTTGATCACTAAATATTAGTATTTTCGTTGCTGTTCTAGTGATGACATGACAAAATGATGGTGTTCTATCTTTTTTTCAAATTTATTTCTATTGATTTAATATTACTAGCAAACTTTGCTCATATTTCATAAAGCATTTTACCAAGGGTGAGCGAAAAGACAGGGATTGTTTCTACCTTTCTTTAATATTGTATATATATATATAGGAATATTACTATCGTCATTAGGAATTTCTAAAAGGTAATCTGTCTGCACGTTTGTTTTTCCAAAACAAACAAAAACAATAAAGTAAGGGTCTCGCTACACCAGGAAAAGGGAAAAGAATTTTTAGGTTAAACAAAGGAGTGCTTAGTAAAATAGGGGCTTACTTTTCTTTAGTAAGTTGTACTCCTTTTTTTTACTGAATTGAAAGTTGTTTTTTATCTTAAATTATATCTGGTAATTTTAAAAATTCTAAATACCTTGTAGGACTTTGCTTTTCATTTTTTTTTGTAGTTTTTCTTTTTTTATTCTAATCAGCTTATTTTAGGCATTGAGGTTTAATAGGTGGGTGAATATTGGATAAGTTACGAATATATATATATAATTTTACTTTTATTTTTTTTTACCAATCTAGTGCAATCCTTATAAACATATCGCATTATTTAATTTAGTGTGAAATTAATTATATATACACAATATTTTCGTTACTGAACATAATATTATTGATTTAAATTTCTCAAATTCACTCATACATACACACACACACACGCACATATATATATATATATATATATACTCTTTATTCACTATCCATAGCACATTTAAGCGTTGTGGAATTTTGAATACTGCATTGTTTCCCTTTCTTTGTGTTAGTTTGCGCTGAACGTTATTCGATTATCAATAATAAAACGCGTTCTTCCTTTTCAAGGATACGACCATTAAAAAAAGGAAAACCTTTAATGCCAGAAAGTCTGAAAACAGAACCTCTACTGGAACACCGCACGGGTTTTTCTAATAAAAAAGCTCCCCGATTTCTGAAGGGTTCCAAACCGTGTCCAAAATCTGGAATGAATTTTCCCATTACTAGGAATAGCGGCAAGGGCTTGAAGCATAGATTTGTTCGTGATGAGTTGAAAGGTTCTAGAATGGATGACTTTCATAAGACGAAGGCTTTTCCATCGCTCGAGCTTCACAGTGTTGCCTCAACAGCGGAGAGCGGCAAGGCCGAGACCAGGTTGGTATGTGATTCGCTCGACCAAAGTGAAGGTGGTACGGGTAGTGATAGTGGCCATGGTTCCAGGGACTTTAGGGTCCTTCGGAGCTTCTTGGAAAGTCACCTTAATGCGAGTTACCTTGCCAAGCACCGGGATTCCCCCATGGCGAGGGCGCTGCTGTGTCAGATGGACAGCTACCTCTGCCTTCCCGTCCCCTCTCTGCTGCAGCTTTCCGAGGTCGCCGCCTTGCTCCACTCTTTCCGCCCTTCCAACCGTCTAGAGAGGCTTTGTGCGATCATTCGCTCCTCCCCCCTGCTCACCCTACGCGAGGGCTTGACCCCCTCACAGGCTGCCGAGGCAGGGGCCTGTGACGGGGTAAGACGGGTGGGGCCCCTGACCCATGCCGCCCCGACCTCCCTCTGTACGCTTCTCTTTCAGTGTGACTGGAAGGACAGCGAGGCGGTGGGAATTCTGCGGGAGCTGACTCAAAACCAGGTCCAGGCGGCTCTTCCTGAGGTCTCAGTGTTGATTGTGGAGGCCTTTAAGCCCCAGGATTACGTCTTCGTCCCCTCGGCAGGGTCTTTCCCTTTTGCTCACGTGACATTGGCGAACTGCGCGGAGGCTCTTCGCGGCCTCGCGCTGTTACAGGAGAAGCCCCTTCACCCGGGGTTAGCGGTGCGGCTTCGCTTTGAGAAGCCCCTCCAACCCTGTAAAGAGCCCTCCACAATCGCTCAGAGCCTCGTGAGGAGGGTTCCCCAGCCCCCCCTTCCCGTCTCCGAGTTAGATCCGCCTCTTTTATCGAGCCCCTTGCTAGGGAACCGGAGCGGGACCTCGCCCTGTCGAATCCACAGTATTGATGCGACCCCATTGAGCGATTACCCAAGGCGGGCCACAGGGAGGATTCGGCATTCTTCTCCTTCTCTGACCCCACCTCTTTCGGTTGATGCAGTCTTGGAGGATTTTATTCACCCATCGCACAATTCCAACTCCTTCTCGCGGTATGATCCGGGGTCTGCATGCAGCGTGGGCCCCAGCATTTCCAGGGCTGGTCTTTTAATTACCAAAGACAGCGCCGTGATTGAGGGTGGGGAATTGTCAAGCAGCTTTTCCCAGCACCATACCGCCTCGTTGGGGTTGACGGAGGGGTTAGCGAGTGTGGAGCGGACAGACCCTGGGATGGAGTCCGGGGGTCACGACGTCTATTTCAACCTCGGGGGCCTTTCAGAGTCCCCGACTTCTGGCACTCATCTTAACCGTTGTGGGGGCTATGGGGGGCTGTGGAGGGATCGCGCCCACAGTAGTCTGGACCCGCTGGCAGCGCCTTGGATGGGTTGGACTACAACGCAGAGCTCACTGTCTTCAGGGGCTTCTATGGCTCCGGTTTCGACCCCACTTGGCGGCATCAAGTGTCGCCGCTGCGATCCTTACACCGGGGATGTTATTATATCCACTAGTTATCCTAATATTAGAGATCTCGGGGGCTCTAACGGGGTTAATAATATATCAAGGGCTATGACGCCTCCATCGTGCATCAAGGGCAGTACATGCATCAGTCATTTCAAAGATCCACTTAAGATGGTTGCTTTAAATCGTTTAAAGAATAGAGCTTCTAGTCTCAATCCATTTTCTGATAATTCTCCGTCATCTTCGGTGTGCAATATCCAGTATGTTTCAAATGAATTCACCACTGATAATACTGATTATAATATTTCAAATCTGAATAGTAAGCATGTGTCCTGATCTCAATTCTGGAACTCGTTTTTTTTTAGAAATCCGATAGGGAAGTAATGCAGTAATTGTCAAATCTGAAATTTATTCTTGCTGATATCCGATTTGGTGTAATCTTTTCCCTTAAATGCGCTGCTCATGTCACTGCTTTTTCAAAAGTTATAATGAAATTAAAATGCATTCTATTGTATCTAGTACCTAAAAAAAACTCAACAACTTTATTCATTTCTATCAGCAACCTTAGAAAAGTGTTTTTCTTACTATATGTAGTTCAACATAAACACGGGAAAACACGACAGCACTATTCTTCTTTGTTTTTTTTTAACACTACGCAGGCTATTTTGAACAAATTTCGTCTGGAAGCCAAGGAGATAAAAAATTGTGGAATGTGAATGAAGTTTTGAGTTGGGTCTTTTTTATTTAATATTTCCATTAGTTATATTTGTGCGAAAACGTCTAATCGGAAGACAACGGAACCATTGAAAATCTGTGGATGAAATTTTTATTTGAGCTTGTATTTTTTTAAATTCTCCTGATGATGAAAACATTTTATTCGACTACGATCTTTTTTAGAGTCAATTAATTAAAAGGGAAAAGTGGAAACTCGTTGGGACTACCTTGTTTTTAATTTTCTTTCACCGATTATGGTGTAAACTCTTGTTGCTTATTTTGCTTATGATTTTAAATTTTCAAATTTAAACATCAATACAGGAATTATTCTTAGGTTTCTTGATTTTATGCTTTTGAAACGGTCTGAGAACTCATAAAAACAATATAGGAAACGGACTTTCTACTTATAAAAAAGACAAGAAGTACTTGTCTTTTTCCACTACTTTTCATTTTTTATATTTATTATTCCTTTAAAATAAAGTGATATTTAGGGAAAAAATTACGGAAAAAAATATTGTTCACTTATTTACACATTTCTATTATATTTTATTTTAAATTATAATAAATGTAATGTACATTTTATTCTTGCTGTTCCGAATAAATTTGAATCCAAATATACATGATTCTATTAACGAGATTTTTTCCTCATACTTATATTCTAATTAATGTACGCAAGCTGTTCCTTCTGAAATGTACGCTTCAGGAGTCTGTAAGTCAGAAAACGACATATTTCATGTATATGCCAAGAAATCTTCAAAACCTTGAATACTTCCTTGGCCTTATATACATATATACATACATATATATATATATATATATATATATATATATAGTAGTA